TCAGCAATGTCAATTTGTTTTCTGGCGGTTCAATTCGATGTTTTTTTCTATCCCTCAGGCGTATTCCCAGCATACTTAGTACCATCCTTCTTTGTGAAATTTTTACTGGGTCTATTAATGTCAGTTGAAGACCTGGGTTTTGAGGTGCTGTGGAAATTGTGTCTTAAATGCGGTATTGAGTCTGAAACATGCTGCCCATCCAATTTCAATCCTTCTGTTAATTTCTGGAGGCAGAAAATTTCTCTTATCAAAGGATATTTTGTGCCCATCGACGATCAGCACACTGATGTAACCTAAATCGACCATCGTAACGTCGACGGAGTTTGACCTTATTTTCCTTTTAATCGTGACCGTGATTTTTGCGGCATAGTTTAGGGCCGAGAGCACCGTTTGAAGGACTTCCATTAGGCTTGCGAGAAGTGTTTACCTTTGATGTTAATGCCACCATTGCTGTTTTGCAAATTTGGGGAGGTGCAATATTTGCTATTATCGGAAGCGATGTTAAGAGGGTTGATTATAGTATCCGTTCTAATATTGATAGCTTCATTCAGCTGGACGTCCAAATTTTGTGTGTGGAGACTTCTGTATCACACCGGTGCGTAGTGCAGCTACAGAATAGGTTAATTCTAGTGCAGCAGATCTAAGTATGTTTCTATGTGTGTCTGGTACATAATATGAGCTGGCTTCCGATTTCAGTTGGTTTGGATTCGGACACGTTCGGTTCTTAAAGCCTGCGTCTTCTAAAATTCCTATATATCATACTTGATGTAGTAGATCTTTCATGATTTTCTGAACCAGCGTTATGACGTTTTTAAAGTTGTAGCTCATCTCCCCTTTTTCAAAGATAATAAGACTTGCTTGCTTTGTTGTAGAAGTTACGCCCTCTAGCGGTCCAGCTACGAATTTGAATACGTTTTCAAGCCATTTTTTATGCCATCTTTACTTATAAAGATTTTTCCCCACACCGCTAGTCCTAACCGCTGTGAATATACAGCCGCTCTTTACCCTTATCGCTCCATCCTGTATATACGAGTTTATTTATATGAGTTTACTGCAAGATAATCTTATACAGGGAGTCACTGATCCTATTCGCTGGGTTGGCGCACCAAGCCATTTCGCAGCAGTAGGCCAAGTCATGAAAATTCACTCAGTTGCCTGGTTTAGCTCTGCGTCCTGCCAATCGAATTCTTCACCTGCGCTCATGCGACTTCTGTTGGCGATTTTTGTATATTCGGCTTTGCTTGTGGTTTCCCTTATTTTCGTCCGGGTCGCCTCGGGCAAAGTCCATTGGTGCAATATTCGTTATTTCTTTCTGCAGTTTCTCCGTGTCGGTTCCATTCATGTGCTCCATTGTTCTACCATACCCTTAGTGTGAATGTGATATATTTATGGTCGCTGAGAAGTTCCTTTTCCATCCCTGTCCATTCAGAAATTCTCATATTTTTTATTCGGGTTACGTCAATTCAGCTTACTCGTGTGGATTTAAATGTCAGTGGCTCTATGTTGTCTACCACTTCGTAGCCTTCCTTTATCGCCCAATGCAGCAGTTTCTCTACACGTTGGTCTGTGGTATTTCGTCCCAATTTCTCTCCGTAATATGGCTTTTCTTAACGTCTGCTTCTTCGTCATGTAGAGCAATATTGGTGAGATCCGTTGCCTTTGCGAAGCATCACGTAAATTCCTGCTGCGTTGTCAGTACCAAGTCCTCGCACTCCTTTTGCCTTCATGTCATCTGTCCCATATGTTGGAATGTTCAAATAACTATCGGAGRATATTCCTACCTAAAATTTTGCAAGTTTTTTACGTTTCCGTTGTTTATACAAATGGCACACCTTTTCAAGCTGGCACCCCTCCATATTTTCAATAGATATGCCATTGCCGAGCTATTCTAATAGTTATTTAAGTTATGTCACTTTAGAGTAATCCCAAGGTGTGACCCTCCTGCCCGCTTCAAGATTTCGGTTTGATTATTGGAAAGGTTTAAGAGTTCTTAAAAGTCCCGATTTGATTGCAATTACATTTAGGATCAAATTTGGCGTTTTCCTAAGTTTTTTCTAAATTTTCGAAGCCTATGCGGCGGATTTGACAAAAATACCGCCAAGTATATTTTCACCGGCTGATCAGAGAGCTTCTGCTCTTCAAGCCTTAATTATTGAAAACAAAAAAAACTTAAAATGAGTCATAATATAAAAAGTCAAAAATACTAAAAAAAACTTCTTCTTACCGTTTGGCTAGCACCACTGACTTCCATCTCCAGAGATGTATTCGCTTCGGGTATGCAAACGTTGGAAAAAAACGTTTCCCCGGCGGACTAGAAGCCCTAAAAACTCACCAGTTTGAAAAGTCGCAGTTGACACCACACGTCCGACAACGGACATTATGGTCAAGATAAACTGTTACTATTCTTGTAAAATTGCAATCCACAATACCATCACAAACCACAAAACACGTGTGGTTGATTCTGTCTACTTCAACCTGCATGCTAGCCTAGCGTGCCTTGTCACCAACATAGAAAATTGAGATTTTTTGGAAGTGTCAATTATCTGCGCGAAATTCGAATTAGCAGCAGCGAGACATTCGGTTCCCGCTAATCTGGTTGATTTTTTCCCTTAAAACCAAGCAATAAATTAACTGTGACAACAAATTGTTGGATTTCTGCGTAAATCTTTAGCTATAATTTGGAAATGTCACATTTAGTTTGCAACCTATTTTTGTACTCGACTTCTACGAACTTTTATGGTGATCAGACTAGAGAATGCACCCAGGAAAGCTGCGACAAAACAGAACAAAATAACCGATGGCATTTCGGCCCTTTTCCAGATATACGAGATACTGGAAAATCGGTATCCTATTTTTTTACAAGTCTATCGTTGTCGAGTTTCATATGGACAAAATACATACCAAACTGAGTGAACAGAGTGTGACAAAGATAGAGCCAATTACGTTTACTGTTAACCGGTACTATTTGATTCAAAATTATCATCGTCATATAAGTACTAAATGCGCATGGTTTAAAAACATTCTCAATTATTATGAAAACTTATAGTGAGATTTTGCTCGATTTTCAGTTTTAAATTTTATTCTAAACAACGAAAGTTTGTGCCGAAAAACCGTGCTCGTTCTGAAATATCCAGGCTGCGAAAAGATACCTAGTGGTATTTTTTTCTAAGCAGCAGAACAGACGGTTTTCGAAATAATGTTAAAACTATGGTTTCAAAGGAAAGTAAAATAAACAATTTCTCAAAAAGTGAAAGGAAGATATTCTTGAAGTGAAAGGAAGAAGAAAGGAGATATTCTGAATACGCTTCTAAATAGAGGAGACCCAGGTTTCGAAAAACCATGCTTCCAATAATCTGTTGCTTTACATAAAAAACACAAAATATTTTAAAATCAGACCACGAAAGCTTTCCGGTCTGTCAAATCACATTTAGAAATGTTTTCCGGGCTTTGAAGCCGTGATCCATGGGAATTTCCTCCTGATATTCCCACAACTGCGATGGACATTATCAAAGGCGATGAGGCAGTGGGCGAAGTGATCTCCCGTGGTTACCGACTAAAACTGGTTCAACTTGAACATTATTTATTTCAGACAAATTTTTTACAAATTTCTTACTGCTAACTTATCTACGAGTCTTAATTCTAACATCTTTAGAGTGTTTTACACTCTGTGAAAGCTGACATCACTGACTTAACCTACCTTAATCTACCTTAATCTACCTTAACCTACTGTGGGCACATTACCCCTAAGTTTAGACCTAAATCTAATACATCTTCTCTTGTTACCTAAACTAACTTACAGCTAGTCCTAGTCTACAATGCTAATTGACTAACCTAATTAGTACAATGGCCCTCTACCTTATTCTACTTAAACTTAAGCCTACTACAACTTCTCTTGCTTCCTAAATCTAACGTAAAGTAAACCTAATAACATTAAAACTTAAAAATCCTAAACTTAAAAGTCTAAAACCTAAAAGTCTAACATTCTACACTGCTAA